GGCAAACTCCAGAAACCATGAGTTGTTAACCCTTTGGCTCGGTACTATAACTTAAATCTGAGTCCCAAGAAGCTCAGAACAGTGCACAGGCTCCGTAGCACCGGCGAGGATTCTGAAATACTTAGGGTAGGTTTTTAACTCCAAATTTTGTCCGGCTGCCGTTAGGCTGCTCTTTTCGATTTCCAACTGCTAAGGGATTTTTTTTAACGTGCGCAACAATGCATACTGAGGTATTGAAAAACCAATACAGGAAGCCTAACCGCTTTCGCGTATTGAGTGTATAGTGCTATGCCAATATTTTATAGATGAATCGGTTCTTGGTGGGTAATTCGGTCCATATCACGCTGGCTGCTTTTATTTCCCAGGACTTTACTTGGTCCCCATTTAATGATAAGTAGACATCGAAGGCAATTACGATTTTTCAAGAAAAATATCGCTTCGTTTGGATTTGAAACCACGACTTTCGTATCCGCAGGTGACCGACTAGCTGCTACAACCCGGCCTCTCCGAACCACTAAAAGTGAAGCCAAAAAAAAAAAAAAACGGCAAAAAATGCGAAAACGTTCACATCGTTTTAGAGTGTATGTAATAACCGTTGGAACATAAAGGAGTTAACCACCCTGCTGTTTTCCCTCGTGTTGCTTTCTGGGCAGGCGAGCTGGCGAGCAATGTTTGCTAGTTCGTGCGTCCCGCCATAAGTTCTGTTTTTCTCATAAACTCAAAGACAAAACAGACGCGTTCTACTCCTGCCCTCGCAGACAGCTGACTCGAGCGCGCAGACTCTGAGACACGACTTGGGGGAACCAGACAGTTTTATGAAGGTATGAAGGGGAAAAAAAAATTTTTGGGGCCACATTTCCGTTGCTTCGTGTTTCCGTCTGTTTTTGCTTCTTTTTCGGGCAATGAAGGGAAAACATGATATCACAAAAGTATCAAGCAAATAGGAAAACGAAAACTTTTTGGGGCAATGTTTTGAATTGCTCGTTTGTAAACAAACGATATTTTCTGTTTTATTCGGAGTTGTATTCGCTTTTACCTAAACATTTTTGGACAACGGCCGGGAGGTAAATCTTGTTGAGGTATTTACAGTGAGCGAGTTTTTAAGACCTATATAGAGCCACTCTTGAAATTAAATGAGGTCAATCATGGATAATCATCTGATTATTTTCTTTTGCTTCTTCGCGTTCACCAGCTGTAAACTCATAGTGAAAAGTTCTGGTTGTTCGTACACTTCTGGACTGCAGTCATGTGTGCAAACGTTTGACAGATCTGACACATATGTGTGCAGACTGTTGATTCCTTGCCTCTCAGGCAGATGCAGTCCGACTTCGAAGGAAGCTTTCAATTAGTCGACTCTTACGACATGCTTTTGGATAGGCAGTAGGTCTATTCTTGTTTTCCCTATAATAGGGCCCTGGAACTCCCACGGAGGTATTTTCCTTTTTCTTTTTTCTTTTTCTGTAGGATCCTTTTCACGGCCCTGAGGCGTATTGGACATCTATAGGACCAGATGTATATTTTATAGACCTGTTGGCATTCAGTGGGTGATTTTGTCAACATTAAACCGACCGCCTTTACTTCCTAGGAAAATACCTTGTACCCACGCAAGACTGGGTCGAAATGGGAGCTGAGATCATCTTTGAAAACAAAACAAATAAGTCCGGCTCAGTCACGATCCAAACCTACAGTCATCTGATTAAAGAAAATATCTGTGGAAGCTGCAAAGACGTGGTTTTGTAGATCACTGATTTATACATTTACATCTAGCGTTTACATCCAGTGGGTCGAGGCAGGCTGGTTACGCAGACAGTGGTTTGAGTCATTGCAAAACTCTCCTGTGTGTGCAGTTACCTTCATATTCGTCCAAGGGTTATGCAGGCGTTGTTGGTAATGAAAGAGCTGATAGACTGGCATGTGCTGCATTAAATGAAGATAGTCGTCAGCCCATGGATCACAATGTCATTGCCCTAAAAAAAATGGTGGCTGGCATGTTGGTTGGCATATTGTGTTGTTTTGCATCTAGGTTGCGTTATTTGCTCCTTTCGGGTTTGTTGTTGTTGTTGTTGTTATCGATCCAGCGGCGCATGAGCTTTCGCCCTTTGGCCCAATGCCATGTAGTGGAATTTGCATGTTTTCACAAGCTGTTCTTTTCCTCCGTACAAGGTGTTCCACTTGTCTGGTCTCGGAGGGAGTAGCGTTCTTCTTGTCTCACTGAGTTTTGGGCACTCAAAGAGATGGTGTTCAACAGTTTCGTAGGGGTAGTTACATAGCTGGCACTCTGGGGGAGTGTTGTGGCTGTATTCTGTTTAGGTGTCCATTGAGTGGAGTATGTTGCGTTCTAAGTCTGAAGATGGTGGCCTGGACCCTTCTTGTTAGATGGTTAAAATGTTGTCATTAGGATCAGGGCCAGCCATATGTCTATAAACCTCTCTTCCAGTGTCTCCCATGGCCCATCTGTTCAACCAAGTCTCTTTGTTTATAGCTCTTATCAGTGTTTTTGCTGTCTGGAGGGTTGTCGCTGTAGGTGGTTGTTCTTGTGTTGCTCCTTTCTTTGCCAATCTGTCAGCTCTGTCATTACCTGGTGTGCCGGAGTGACCTGGAATCCACTGCATCACTATTCTGATGTTGTATGAGGTAATAAGATGATCGGCATCCAGGATTATCTTGGCTATGTCAGTTCTGCAGCGTTCATTGCCCTCCAGAGCTTGAAGGGCAGATATTGAATCTGTGAAGATGACAATATTTTGGACCTTTGAGGGGTAAACATCCATTACAGTCTTTAGGTGGTATACTGCTGTTTCCAGTGCAATTATTTCAGCTTCATAGTTTGAACAGAATTCCCCGCATGCATCAAAAATCTCTTCAACAGATCCTTTCGGGTTTAACACAGGTGATTTAAGCAAACCCCTAATTTGTCGACGTTTAGGATACGCTTGTTGAGGGACAGAAGGTATCTCCTGACCCAGTGGGGGAAGGTAACCCACGTGGAGATGTGCACTCTATCTTTAAGTATATTAATCTGCCTCAGCCTGGGATTAAACCTCTCATCCCCGTGTGGGTTCCGGGGCCCTATTGTGGGAAAAACAAGAATAGAGCAACTCCATGCCCAAAAGCATGTGGTAAGATTCGACTAAATGGAAGCTTCCTTTGAAGTCGAAGTAATGTACCTGAGAGGCAAGGAACCAACAGTCTGAATGCAAAGATTCATACATGTGAAACAGATGTACACGAAGCACTCAGTTTATGGGACATAACTGGAGTCCAGAAGTGGACGAACAACCAGAACTTTCCGCCTGAGTTTAAAGCCGGTGGACGTGTAGACGAAATTCCCCCCCACCCCCCCCCCCCCCCCCCCCCCAAAGCAAAAGCACTAACAGCTACGCTCTCCTAGCTCCTATTTTTTTTTCAAGATTAGGGTTTTTTTTTTTTTAGTACTTTGCTAAAACAGTTTCGTACACGACCTACAACTCTTTGCGGCTTCCAGTCGCCCTGTACTATCAAGAACAAAAGCAGTTAAAACACTCAGCGGCCTAGACACAATACAGGAATGCAGCTAATCCAACATGTTTCGTATTTTTGTCCCCCGGAGTTTCTTCCCATAAATTCCATTGGCTATTTCACGGATCGGATGATTTCAAAGTCTCCACAGTTCCACAAACAGACAGTCTGTAGGAAAGACATTTCGTGTGGTAAAAACGCCGGCGCGATTAGAGGACAGGCACCTTCGGCGTGTTTCCTGTGGCTCCTAGAGCGCCTGAGATGATGGGAAGTGCAGAGATGTCGTTAGAATGATTTAGTCTTCAGAATGTCTTCGCGATCTTCTGAATGCCAGAATGGATGCTTGTGTCAGTACCAGTGGCGCCTGCTATTGTAACTGATTACTCTGCTTGGGGGAGCTGCCGTAACCACACAGAAGCTAGACGCTTTTCTATGTCTTGGGTTCGAATCCTCATCTCTCTGTGTGGGTTCGGGGATCCTTTTAGGGGATGGGGAAAGGGTGATAGACTAAATGCCCCCCCCCCCCACAAGTATGTCGTAAAGGTATACAACAATATGACAACTCTATGACTCAGAGATGGACAGTCTCCCATTGATATCCAGAACTCAGACAATGGTTGCATCTTATGTTTGGACACAAGAGTGACATCAGAAAGACAACTCGATCTGCTTTTCCTCTTTTTCACGATGATCAGTTGCGCATTATCCTTGTTGACGTTTTCCTTCTTCAAAGAAGGGAATTATCAATTAAAAGGTCGCCTTTACGTGAATCCTGTCACGGAAATAATTATCACAACTTTCTAATAGTTTATGCGGTTGAACGGGGATTTTCATCAAAGATACTGATCCTGCAGATCGACCATACTCATTAACATGATTAGGCAGAAATCTCTGGTGGACCACCTGGGCCAAAGATTGTAAAACTACTTTACAGGACGTTGCAGAACCAAACCCTAATTTTAAAACGTATTTCTGGTACCTTCCCCTTCATTCAGATGCACTCACACTTCAAAGAAGGCCTCCGGTTAGTCGACGCTTACGACATGTTTACTGGGGAGGCGGTGGGTCTATTTTTGTTTTCCTCACAATGATACCTCAGAAAGCACAAGTAAGTAAGTAAAATTTACCCTACCAAGGCATCATACAGAGAGACAAACACCTGATGACACAGAGTGCCATCATGCCGATGAGGATCACCCGTGGAGAGGTCCCCGAAACCCAGTTCAATGATTAGGTTATATTAGGATCCCCGGCAACAGCCAGGGTGGGGCTCCAAAATAACGAACAATTGCATCCCAGAAGGGTACGATGATAATTAGGATACAAGGCACCAGGGGAGGTGTCTTGATCTTTTACGACATAATAGCCAGAATGTGATGCCAAAAGTTCACAACAATGATCTCGCCAGTTGAGATTTCATAAGCAATCTACTCTTCAATTAGTCTGAAAAGGGTTGATAGAAAAATGGTCAGAAACAGACATTATGAGTTCACATTTCCTACCTGATTCACTGTTATTCTCGGCACTGTGGGCGTTCATGCCCACTGGTCCGCCAGGTATAGGAGTGTCCCCGGAACGCGAAGACTGTGTGTCATCCTGCTGGCTGAAGTTGAGGCTTTGAGACGGCGGCCGCTGTTGGAAGGAAAAGATGAAGTAATATACTCTTCTGAGTAGACAATTAGTAAATATCCACAATATAATGAATACTTTGCAGTTGTGTGATCACATCCTTTCTTACAAAATGACAATGAATTGTTGTGGTAGTTAACACTAATGTATTACTTGTTAAACACATCACAATAGTATTTGCAGCAGCAGTAATAGTGTTATTAGTAATGTGGTGGATGAAGACCGCAGCTGCAACATTAACAGGAACAATCATGTTAACGTATATGGCAACGTTGTCTGTGACTTGGTGTATTTTTCCTCCAGCAGCTACCACGCGTGATGACCATCTTCCTATTTTCATGAAATCTTTACTTTCAACATCTTGGTCACTTATGTTTTCAGAACAATACGGTAAAAGTGATATCGCGCCCCCCCCCCCCCCCCTTGTAGAATCTAGGCCCTCAACCTGCTCTCGCCAAGTCGTTCTATCCTTCGCTGTTGTATGCAGCTCTCCCACGTCCACATGATCTGTTTAACTTCACTCTCTAGATTCTTTCCCCCTGTGTATTTTAATCTTATTTTATTTCTATGTCCCTGTGGGTTTCAGCGCAAAGACATTCTAGTTATACTGTTCTCAGCTTCCCTCAACGTGTATCTTGTCTATCCTGTCCAACGCCAGCGGCTTTTCTTCACCCCTTGGTTTCATTGTAACTTGTTTAGTTCTCTTTAAAAAATATAACTAATTCGATCAATAATCAGCATTTCAATTAGAGATTGCGAAATGCAAATTATGTTTTCTAATTCTTTCTTCTCTGTTTTTACAAAACAGTAATATTGCATTTCTCCTTCATGCTCACTGCGATGTATCCCAGTTTCACTTTCTTCTCCTTTCTAATTAACTCGTGCCATGCCCCAGTTTTTGTGGGGGCACTAAACGCCAGCCGAATGTGGCAATTCTCACCAGCCGCCTCCTGTACTTTCCCGTCCTTTGAAGAGGCTCTGCTCTGTGTGAAGCCGAAGCGGAAACCTTCAGTTAGTCTGCATGAAGTTGGTAATTTTCCCAAGTGGAAGACCCCTGAATCGAAAGGGATCTTTCAAAAATAAAATGCAATAAGGGAGGAGAGAGAATCAGCCCCTCTAACACAGTAGTCATCTCATCTCAAAACTGTGAGAGCGTTAAAAGTCTAGACTCGGTAAAGATGCTTGCTCTTCCATTGTTCTGTAAGTTTGACTCTGTTTTCCCGAACGGAGTTAAATTGGGCTGTGAACTCTGAAAAGATTTGTTCTTGTCTTGACGATTGTTGGGTGTCGTGTTGAGCATCACTTTTCCCTGTCAGTCATCCCCTCATCGTCTCTAGGACTGATATGACATTCGCCCAATTGAGCGCGGTCTTGGGTGCTGAGAAAGCAGCGAATGAGTTTGACAGTTTTGTGTCCCTTTCTCCCCTCCCACGCCAAATCCTTATTATTCTTGGCTGAGTGTGAGGTCGTTGAAAAACAGCCAGATGAAAACGGACAAAAAGAGAATAAATTAAATGATCCGGTTGATTCGGACCTGATTTTCGTTGTGGATGAAGACATCCACTCTCAGCATTGTTGTGTTGTGTGGTCACGTGAGGGCCGGTGAACTATGAGGATAGTGCTGTGTCCACGGAACACCATGAGACACAATACAAACACAACATGTACAATTTAACGGCTGTAAAACTGCAAAACATGACAGAATAGACGGGCCCATACACCCCAGACTCTCCAAATACTTGTCCCGGCTGCGTCTTTCAACTGTCCCTGGTTTACTTCCACCACAAGATATGTTTATTAACTGTCAAACGTGACAGCATCAACTGTCGTGCTCCTGTCTATCATGACAGTGTGAAAACAGACCGCCTGGGTCTTGGTGCATGCACGTATTCACATCTTGCTTGTAACAAACCCTTGTCTGGACATGTTCTTTGAAGATCTGTTGTCCTAGATGCATCCAGGAAATTGTTTTTTTCTTCAGGAAACTTGTATGCTTGTCTTTACACGACCTGTCTACGTGGATGAAATGATCATCTGAAGAAATCAATGATTAATTTAAGTCGTAGCATCTGAGGTTCCATCCAAGTTGTTAATAGTGTTTGTCATTGATACTTCCAGAATCATGCCACTAGCAAAATGGCGAAACTGCAGTATTTAAATAACATGAAATGCAAATTCGCGTGTATTAATCTATCGTCATAGAGAACAAAGAAAAAACAAGCGGAAATAGCTGTTAAATTCTCCGGCTATTGATCTTATCGTCTATCCACTTACTTAGGTATTTTCGCTATCATCATGTGCCGAGTCAATAAACGTAAACGATCAGTGTTTGCATCATCCCATAGTATAGCGTATGATACTGCATTTGGTAAAAATTGTACCGTGTTTTCATCAACATTAAAGTGAATAGAACAAATCTCAAGCGCCTTGACATGTTCAGGCACTCGGGTATCCCGATAACGATGGAAGTGGTATTAAAGAATTTAAATGTAGAATTGCTCAAGCACGGTCAACATTTTACGAAGTGAGGAATATTTTATAAAATTTTTCTTTCTCAATTCAAACGAGAAAGAGAATTCTTAAAAGCTATATAAATCCTATCTTAATATACGGAAGTGAATCATGGACAGTTAGTAGATAAGTGAACAATTATTTAGAAGTTGCTGAGATGTAGATTTATCCACGAATGATGAGAAAAACTTGGTCAGGTAAAAAGAGTAATGAGGATGCCTTAAAAGAAACACGAAGAGAACTGATTGCCCAGATCAACAAGAGACAATCTACATTTTTGTGGTCATGTGATGAGAAAGTAGCGGAACAGCGCATAAATGCATTTGAATATAAATGTTACAGACAGGTTCTAAGAATATCTTGGGTAAAGAAAAGAACAAATGCATCCATACTTCAAGAGCTGAATATTGAAGAGGGTTGGCTAGTAAAGACAATAAAACAAAGAAAATTGAAATATTTTGGTCACTTGAAACGTCATGGAAGTCTAGAGAGAACAATAATGGAGGGGTATATGCCTGGGAAGAGAGGAAGAGGAAGGCCAAGGAGAAGATGGGTGCAGGATGTGGCAGATGATCTCCAGATGGGTGTATCAGACGCAGGACATCTTGCTCAGGATAGGAAGGTTTTCCGGAGGGTTGTTATGGCAGCGAGGTTCCGCGAGGGACATGCTACTGAATGAATGAATGATGAGAAAGTAGGAAAGTTGGAGGGGAGGAGAGGCAGAGGAAGTTCGAGAGAAAAGATGCTGGACAGTTTGACATCATGGCATGGAAGATCATCTGTGTCAGAGTTGGCTTAAAGTATACGAGACAAACGTTTGTGGATAGACATGACTACCAATGCTACACAGCATAGACTTTGAGAAGATGAAGTACCATCTTTGCTAATAGACACATGGCATTACCCATCTAACAAGAAGGGACCAGGCCACCATCTTCAGACTGAGAACACAACATACTCCACTCAGTGGACACCTGAACAGAATACAGCCACAACACTCCCCATAGTGCCAGCTATATAACTACCCCTACGAAACTGTTGAACACCATCTCTTTGAGTGCCCAAAACTCAGCGAGACTAGAAGAACGCTACTCCCTCCGACCCCAGACAAGTGGAATACCTTGTACGGCGGAAAAGAACAGCTTGTGAAAACATGCAAATTCCACTACATGGCATTGGGCCAAAGGGCGAAAGCGCATGCGCCGCTGGATCGATAACAACAACAACAACAACAACAACATTCGTTACACAGCTGTTGGCACTAAATCTCTCACTAAGCAGTTGAAGGTCTATGGTTTCTGTAAACTTGGATAGACTTCATGTATAGTCTGTGATTAAAGAAAAGAAGGCATAGCGCTTGACGAATAGAACAAATTCCACATTGAGCTAAACGAATAACTGATTCCTTCCTGCGAAACAAATAACTGATTCCTTCCTGCGAAACGAATAACTGATTCCTTCCTGCGAAACGAATAACTGATTCCTTCCTGGGCACAACAGACTTCGTCAACATATGTTCGAATTTTTCAGTATAGAAAACACGGAGACGTGTCCCTGATGCGTGGCGGACGAAAATGCTGAGCATGTGCTCCAACGCTGTCGACTGTATGCTGACAACAGAGACGCAATCTGGCCTGTTCCAACCACAATGAAGACAAAATGTATGTTACACGAGAAGATATGGATTGCACGATAGCTTTCATAAAGGCTACCGGCCTCCTGATATAAGTTTTCGGACAGAAGGATCAAAGAAGAAGAGCTGATCCCTTGACCATGACGTGTTTTAACGCCCCTGCTGCGCAAGACGGAGAGCTATACAACTACGTTTTCTCAGGGGTCAACATTTTGAAAATAGGGATCATCACAGGCCAGTGGTCTGAACCCTTGCATAGACAAATCATTGATTCAATATCATTGGCAGTGATCCGCAGGCCGCTTGCTATGCCTCTGTTGGCCAGATGTGGCCCGCAGGCTACTAAATGAACAGTCCTGCCAATGGGCATATGATGTTGTACCCATATTTCTACACACCAATCGTCACTAGTGTGGTATGGTCAACATCTCGTCGACCGCCTTTATATCCCAGGATATTTTATAGTGCCCATGTTAGACTGCGTCGACCTGGACGCCATGTCAGTCATATAAAATACGCTATGGAAAAATACTGATTCGAACTGAAAATACTTTCAGACCCACAGTCAAACTTCTGCCCATTGCACCAGTTTAGTTCGAACTTTTTTTTATGTGACCAACTTGGAAGGAATTTCAATATTCTGCTTGCAAACATGCATTCTTCCGATAAGTAAATACATGTTCATGAAAACTGTCTGATATCACAGATTTGTTTCGTACATGCCTTGATGGAAAATACATATTTTTAATGTTGGCCCGTGATATGTTGATTGTGCATGCCCACAATCTGAAGCAGGTTTGATTACATAACCCGTTGCTTGGTGACGCAAAAGTGATGGCTTCCCAATTATAGCCATTAC